CAAATTGCCAATTTCTGACCACCATATTGGGTAGTCCAAATAAGTAAATGGGAGGTTTCTTGTACTCAGGTGATAGATAAAATGGAGTTCTAAAGAAATAGCTATGAGTTTGGTCAACTGGAACAATGGAATTGGCTGAAAATAGGGCTCAAAGTCGGCGAAATCGCCGATACGCATATGCCGCCGAGACCGCTAACTTCGCGGGAGCATAATTCCACGAGTTTTCGACCAAATTTCGAACTTTTGGTGTCATTACCATCGGGAAAAGATTCTCTATCATTTCATAAGAAAAAATAATTTTTTTTTTCAAAAATTGAGTGACATAGAATGACAGTTTCAGAGAGGGGCCTGAAACAGTCAAAGGGTTAAATGTAACAGAATATTATGTTTAGGTGGGGTGGCCTGGTATGGTAGCCCGGCTGACTACCATACATACCACACTTGATTTCTTACAATAAATACTACTACTTGACTCACCCTATATTAAGACTATAAATATTATAAGGTAAGTAATGAGTGCACTATGTGTGTATTGTACTTTGTTATTGTTTTCTGATGCCTAGTTCTATTGCTAACTTAATATATGTTAGTGTAAACTTGTTATCTAGTATTTGTATGCATTTATAAGGGGGATAAAAAGGATGTTCCACTTTACGGCTATTTCCGCTTTACGGCGGTAGCCTGAAACCTAACCTGCCGTATAAGTGGGGCCCTACTGTAAATAATTTATATATATTTCTAGACAATAGTATGTGAGCAAGGCAGATGAACATGTTCACCTGTCAGTGTGCTTGTTACTGTGTGATTACTATTTCCGTACCTAATACTGGTGTCAGAACAAAGATTGGCTATAAAGTCACAAGAATTACTATAAATTGTAATTATCAGAACATAAAAATAATGTAAATTAAAAAAATAACAAGGAAAAAAGGTATTGTGGCAACATTTCTGAAAGCGGCAGGGCTTCATGTTGCCATCAGGTGAGTGTCCAGCGCCAACTTTGCGGCCTTATATCTCAGTAAGTACTGACCCTAAAAATTTTTTGGGGACTTATTACACAAAGAAAATTGCCGCCTTTATTAAAAAAAAAAATTCAAAATATTTGGAGTGCTAGCAGTGAAAACGTAGATCAACGTTTGGACAGTTTATAGGTTAAGAAAGGTGTTGGATTAAAATATAACAAATTAAATACAAACATTGGAATTGTCACCTTTGTCTCTGCTGATGACACTTTATTTAAGGAAACTTTGAAGAGAAGTTGCAAAGGTTGGTGGAAGAAATTGGGCATGTTAGACAGGGGTGAGCGGAGGCAAATAGTTTTTATGAATTTACAGTGGACCTGTTGGTGGATGGGTTAATAAAGGATAAAGTGAACTATAGAATAATTGAAAAAAAAAAAAGTGGGTGGAGCTTTGAGGCATCTGTGGAAAAAAGTTATCTTTCTTTCTTTTAATGCACTGACCGTATCCCATTGAGGCAGGGTGGTCTCAGAAGAAAAACAAAAGTTTCTCTTTTTAAATTTAGTAATATATACAGGAGAAGAGGTTACTAGCCCCATGCTCCCGGCATTTCAGTTGCCTCTTATGACATGCATGGCTTATGGAGGAAGAATTCTGTTCCACTTTCCAATGGAGATAAGAGGAAATTAATAAGAACAAGAACTAGTAAGAAAATAGAAGAAAACACAAAAGGGTGTATATATACATGTATGCTTGTACTTGCATGTGTAAAGTGACCTAAATGTAAGTAGAAGCAGCAAGACATACTTGAAACCTTGCATGTTTATGAGACAGAAAAAAGACACCAGCAATCCAACCATCATGTAAAACAATTACAGGCTTCTGTTTCACACTCACTTGGCAGTAGTACCTCCCTGGGCGGTTGCTGTCTAGCAACCTACTACCTAGGAAAAAGTTATCTATTGAGTCAAAAAAGGGGAATGTACCAGAGTACAGTGGTACCAACACTGTTAAGTGGATGTAAAGCATTTGTGTTAAATGAGGGCAATGTGTGGTGTGCATTATGCAGAGACTTCAGAATATGGAGATTATGTGCAAGGTTACTAGAAGTATGGTTCAGAGAACTGATGAAGGGTTGCTGAGGCAATTCGGGCATTTAGAGAGGGAGCAAAATAGGATGATTTGTCATGGAAGCGTGTGTGTGCGGGCACACATCCATAACATGGTAGCTGTCTGGCATAAGGTTGTTATACAAGCATAGATGGTGGTTAAATGTGGGAAAGATCTGATTTTTTTTTATTTAAAATTACATTCTGCAGATGTTCTTTATGCAGGGGATGATCATATATATACAAACACACACACATACAAATACAAACACACACACATACAAATACAAACACACACACATACAAATACAAACACACACACACAGTCATAAATATACATACAACAAGCCCTTGATATAATGATATATTAGAATTGTTAAAAAATAATAAAAAAGTGCACTAATGCACTCTACAGCTAATACAGTACTGAACACAATTTACAGATATACTGCAATAAAGAATTCTGCTTATAATTTAAAAGTCTACTACAGTGGACCCCCGCATAATGTTGGCATCACATAGCATTAAATCCGCATAGCGATACATTGTATCTCTAAAATTTTGCCTCTCATAGCACTAAAAAATTCGCTCAACGCGATTCGTCTGAGACGCGTCCATGCGGCCTGAGCCAGCCTCACTTGTTCTGCCAGTGGCATTGTTTAAACGCCAGCCTCCGAGTTAACATTCAAGCATACAATCAGAACATTTCGTATTATTACAGCTTTTTTATAGTGATTTCACCTGAAAAATAAGTGACCATGGGCCCCAAGAAAGCTTCTAGTACCAACCCTACAGGAAAAAGGGTGAGAATTACTATGGACATGAAGAAAGAGATCATTGCTAAGTATGAAAGTGGAGTGCGTGTCTCCGAGCTGGCCAGGTTGTACAGTAAACCTCAATCAACCATCGCTACTATTGTGTCCAAGAGAACGGCAATCAAGGAAGCTGTTCTTGCCAAAGGTTTAACTGTGCTTTTGAAACAGAGATCGCAAGTTATAGAAGATGTTGAGAGACTGTTATTGGTGTGGATAAACAAAAAACAGATAACAGGCGATAGCATCTCTCAAGCGATCATAAGTGAAAAGGCTAGGAAGTTGCACGAGGATTTAATTAGAAAAATGCCTGCAACTAGTTGTGATGCGAGTGAATTTAAGGCCAGCAAAGGTTGGTTTGAGAGATTTAAGAGGCGTAGTGGCATACATAGTGTGATAAGGCATGGTGAGGCTGCCAGTTCGGACCACAAAGCAGCTGAAAAATATGTGCAGGAATTCAAGGAGTACATAGACAGTGAAGGACTGAAACCTGAACAAGTGTTTAATTGTGACAAAACAGGCCTGTTTTGGAAGAAAATGCCAAGCAGGACCTACATTACTCAGGAGGAAAAGGCACTCCCAGGACATAAGCCTATGAAAGACAGGCTTACTCTTCTCATGTGTGCCAATGCTAGTGGTGATTGCAAAGTGAAGCCTTTATTAGTGTATCACTCTGAAACTCCCAGAGAGTTCAGGCAAAAGAATATTCTCAAGGCTAATTTGTGTGTGCTGTGGAGGGCAAACAATAAGGCATGGGTCACTAGGGACTTTTTCTATGACTGGTTACACCAAGCATTTGCCCCCACTGTGAAAAATTACCTAACTGAAAAGAAATTAGACCTTAAGTGCCTCCTGGTGTTAGACAATGCCCCTGGTCATCCTACAGATTTGGCAGAGTGACTTTGAGGGGACATGAGCTTCATTAAGGTCAAGTTTTTGCCTCCTAATACCACTCCTCTCCTGCAGCCCATGGACCAGCAGGTTATTGCAAACTTCAAAAAACTGTACACAAAAGCTCTGTTTGAAAAATGCTTTGTAGTGACCTCAGAAACTCAATTGACTCTAAGAGAGTTTTGGAGAGAGCACTTTAATATCCTCAATTGTGTAAACCTTATAGGTAAGGCTTGGGAGGAAGTGACTAAGAGGACCTTGAACTCTGCTTGGAAGAAACTGTGGCCAGAATGTGTAGACCAAAGGGATTTTGAAGGAATTGAGGCTAACCTTGAGAATCCTATGCCAGTTGAGGAATCAATTGTGGCATTGGGGAAGTCCTTGGGGTTGGAGGTTAGTGGGGAGGATGTGGAAGAGTTGGTGGAGGAGGACAATGAAGAACTAACCACTGATGAGCTGCTAGATCAACTTCAACAGCAAGAGGCCACACCTGAGGAAATTGCTTCGGAGGAGGGGAGAGAGAAATTGAAGAAGTTGCCTACTTCAAAGATAAAGGAAATCTGTGCAAAGTGGCTTGAAGTGCAAACCTTTATGGATGAAAATCACCCTCAGACAGCTATTGCAAGCCGTACTGGTGACTATTACAGTGACACTGTTGTGAAACACTTTAGGAAAGTCATAAAGGAACGAGAGGTACAGGCCACTATGGACAGATATGTTGTGCAACAGAAGTCCAGTGACTCTCAAGCTGGTCCTAGTGGCATTAAAAGAAGAAGGGAAGCAACCCCGGAAAAGGACTTGACACCTCAAGTCCTAATGGAAGGGGATTCCCCTTCTAAACACTAAAACCATCCAGTCTCCTCTCCTCCCATCCCATCAGTCATCACCACATCTTCAATAAAGGTAAGTGTCATGTAACTGTGCATGTTTTCTTAAGTTTGTGTGTATTAAAATTAATATTTCATGTGGTAAAATTTTTTTTTTTCATACTTTTGGGTGTCTTGCACGGATTAATTTGATTTCCATTATTTCTTATGGGGAAAATTAATTCACATAACGATAATTTCGCATAACATTGAGCTCTCAGGAACGGATTAATAGCGTTATGCGGGGGTCCACTGTATATTGAGGGTTTAATGTACATTTGCACACACATTTACATGAATACACACACACACACACACATACATATAAACACAACTGAGAATATCTTATAAAGAAAAACATACTCTTGGTAGCAAGTTGTTCATCGCCCTCCAGTGGATGTACAATGCCAGGTGCCGGGTCACCGAAGGACAGTTTATTGATACGGTGGGTAAAATTATAGTCCTTATCATCCATAAATACAGCCAAATGAGCATGACCTCTTGGCAGTGGTATGGTTTTACCTGTGTAAAGTAAACCAATATTATTTTAATACAAGGCTATCTCATTAGATAATGATGAAAAAATTGTCTGAAAATTGCCACAAAATTTATTAAAATAGTAATATGGGTGAGTAAAGAAAATTAAATAAAAATATCAGCAAAACATTGGTCTAACTGGCAAATAGGAAGGAAATGCCCAATTAACCTTGTAATAATACACAAATAACCCGCACATAGAAGAAAGGAGCTTACGACGATGTTTCGGTCCGACTTGGACCATTTACAAAGTCACACTAATGAGAAGTAGAGCAGGCTTTCTGACTCATGTACCTACATCCTCTCATTTCCAACCCTCTTGATCACATCAAGAGAACTTTCAACAAGAAACTAAGGACTCTCTCCGACCTCTGTCCTCCTGACTTCGACCTTGTTCAACGGTTTCATGTTATCTGCCCCTCTCTTCCCTATTTCTATGGCCTTCCCAAAACTCATAAACCTGATATTCCTCTATGTCCTATCATATCCTCTAGAGGTTCTGTCTCTTATTCTCTTGCTTCTTGGCTGGCCAAAGCCCTCACTCCCTTTCTTGGTACTTTCTCTCCTGCCCACCTCCGTCACTCTCAAGACTTCACTGAACAGGTTTCCTCTCTCCCGACCTGTAAGATGCTTAGTCTTGACGTTGAGTCCTTCTTCACCAATGTCCCTCTTGATGATGTCCTTGATTTTCTTAGAGAGAAGGCCCATGAAGGGTTTCTTCATCTCTCTATACCTACTGATGTCTGTCTTGATCTTATCTGCCTCTGTGTGGACTCTAATTCCTTTTCCTTCCAAAGAAAATATTATTCTCAAACCTTCGGTGTCGCTATGGGCTCTCCTCTCTCTCCTGTCCTTGCTAATCTTTACATGGAATACTTCGAGACTGTTCTTCTTCCTACCATCGATGTGCACCCTTCACTCTGGCTTTGCTATGTAGATGACATCTTTGCTCTGTGGCCTCATGACTCTAGTCTCTTCCAGCCTTTTCTTGAAGCTCTTAATAATTTTGCCCCTTCCATTAAATTTAAAGCTGAATGGGAATCTAATTCCTTGCTTCCTTTCCTTGATGTCCATGTCCACCGCTCAGATCCAGGTTTTTCCTTTTCCGTTTACCACAAATCTATGCACAGTGGCATGTACATTCACTACTTTTCCTATCATGCTTTCCCTGTCAGGAAAAGTGTTCTTATCTCCCTCTTTCTCTGTGCCCTCCACATCTGTGATCCTCAATTCCTTCCAGCAGAAATTTCCACTCTTCATAATTCGTTTTCTCGTCTTGGCTACCCTTCCCATTTCATAGACTCTGCCCTCTCATGTGCTAAACGTAATTTCTTCTCTCCCAAACTCTCTACTCCTGGGAACTCTTCTGCCCTCTGCCTTCCCTACATTTCCAGTCTCTAATCTCAACAATTCTCTCCGTTCCTTTGACATCAAGCTTACTTTCCGCCAGACTAACACTCTTCGCACTAATCTCATTCATACCTCTCCTCCCTCTACAGATGTTCCTGGTGTCTACTCTATTTCTTGCTCCTCCTGTCCTCTTCAATACTTTGGAGAAACTGGCCGATCTCTTTCTGACAGACTTAGGGAGCACAAAAATAGTGTAGGCTTGCCGACACTAACAATGCTCTTTTCTGTCACGTCAGAGATCACAGCCATCCTATTGACTGGTCTTCTGCTAAAACTGTCCTCCCTACTTCCAACAGTCACTGTCTGGTTGAATCCTCCCTAATACACAACTTTCCTTGTATGAATCTTAGTCCTGGCTTTGTCTCTGTAGATGCCTTCCTCTCCCACTACATTGTAAAATGCTCCAAACTTCGGAACACCCGTGACTTAACCTGATTCTTCCTTTTTCTTCTCCTTCTTACCCTTTCCTCTTTCCTTTTCTCTTCTGGGTTGTTTTTCTTTCTTCTGCCTTGTGTTTCTGTTCCTTCATTATTTATTTTATTATTCCCCCCCCCCACCTCTGTGTTCTTGCTCTCTCTCTCTGGGCACCTAGCTCCCTTGCAGGGCTCCCCTTTCTTAGTATTTGACTGGCTCCTCCTCCTTTCTTCCCCACCACTACTTCCTTCCACCCCTTCTTCTTCTTCTTCTGCCGCTGCCACCACCACTTCCTGCCTATATATAACCGTCCTGCTCTACTTCTCGTTAGTGTGACTTTGTAAATGGTCCAAGTCAGACCAAAATGTCGTCGTAAGCCCCTCTCTTCTATGTGCGGGTTATTTGTGTATCATTCCAGTCACAGTATTGTGCCTTCTTTTGTTAACCTTGTAACTGCTAGAGACCCTGGAAAAAAATTCCTGTGTGTGGAGAAGATTTTGAAAAAAAAGACAAAAAAATTTTCTTACAGATCGATAGTTTGTTTTTCTGAATCAAACGAGACTAAAATGAGTGAAATCTGATAAAAACTTACAATTTTATAATGCGTTCAAGTTAGTGAAAAATGATCACTAATCAGCAATAGTGGTGTTAAAGTGCCAGTGATGTTTACGTTTTACAATTACTGATGCTAATATATGATTCTTTTTCTGTTTTTTTTTTATTTTTATGTTTAACATACAGCCTCTCCTCACTTAGAGGTGTACTCGCTTACTGACAACTCGGATTTACAACGGGCTCTCTGACCAATATGCATACATAAATATTAAATATTAGAGCTGATTTCCTCTATTCTGTTTATTACAATATACAGTACACTACTGCATAAACACTTAAAAATATACCAGAAATTTTATAAATGGCGCAAAGGTGACATTAAAACAATATCAAAGATGGTTGACACAAACCCATTACAGTATGCTCCTCACTTAGCGACAAATTCATTTACTGACGTGATCTTAGGAATGGAACTCCATCCCTGAGTGAGGAGCATACTATAATGGTAGTGGATTTGTGTCAATCATCTCTGATATTGTTTTAATGTCACTTTTACATCATTTATAACATTTCTAATATATTTTTAAATGTTTATACAGTAGTGTACTGTATATTGTAATAAAGATAACACAGTGGACACTCGATTACTGGCCGTTCCTGTTATCAGCCAACTCAGTGATCGGCCGGGTTTCAGGCTCCCGGTGATCAGCCATTATTTCAGTGATCAGCTGTTTCAGACGCATCCGTCCGCCACCCGGGGCCACTTGCGCATCAGTTTGGCTGTATCTCTCGGTGCGTGAGGAAGCTTCTGCTCATACATCCAAACATTTCGCTTGTTTTCCATTGTTTTTTGTGGGTTTTTCGCAGTTGCACTGCGAAATAAGTATGCTAATGCTGCGAAAGGAGTAACTTTTCTAACGAAACAAAGGTCACCAATAATGGAACAGATAAGAACATAAGAATGGAGGAACACTGCAGAAGGTCTACTGGCCCATACAAGGCAGGTCCTTATCAAAACAGCCTCTACCCAAGAATTAGCTCCCGTACCCAATGACACCAATCAAACCCAGACCCTCCCACTCATATATTTGTCCAATCTCTTTTTAACCCTTTGAGGGTCGACAGGCCCTCTCAGAGACTCATTCTCAGGGTCGGCCAAATTTCAAAAAAAAAAAAAAATTATTTTTTATGAAAAAATAGTTTTTTTTTCTAAACATTATAGGCTAAACAAAAATTTTTTACCATCAATACTTACCGAGATATGGAGGCGTGAAGTTTGCCAAAATTGAACAACATCTGGTAACATCGCTGACTGCCGTCACACGGTAATTTTCTATTTACTTTTTTATGTACTATTTTCAATTATTTTTCAATTTTTCTTTTTCTGAGTAACTTTTGTGGTCTCTAAGACCAATATGATCAGTATTTTGTAAGTTATTTCTTTTTCAATACTACACAATAAGGGCGTAAACACTGTTGTCATTATTTTGTTTATAGAAAATATTTACACAAACAAACGATATGAAATGTTGTTTATTACTATTTTTCTATATTTTATATACACATATACAGTCACAGGGAATGTTTCTAGAAGTTCTACAGCCTGTGGAACTCTTTGAAACATGGTGTCATGCACAGTGGTGTTTTACACTCCTCACACATAAAACGAGTGTCTCTGCGTTGTTGTGGGCGTTTCCTTGTATGTGCACAGACGTAACACCTCTTCTGAGCCTTTTTCTTGAAAGCAGTAGCAGGCAGTTTTACTAGGAAGTGATCACCATGCCTCAGACAAGCAGGTAGTTGTTGATAATTTGGTGGGTGGTCAATTGCAGGTGTTCTTCCTTGGTACTTGAATACTATTTGTCTGATGACAGACAAACAGAATTCGCCATACTGTGGTTTGTTTCTGGTCCTCATCTTATACATATTACAGGTCCGCCATCACAAATTCGGCAATCAGTTATTCGGTTCCTTCAGTTATTTGGCACTAATTTTGGCTAGCATAATTTCAAATTTCCAGGGTCGCCACACCAACCTGCTGGTACTGTTTGGTGGCGCTACTTGCTGCATAAGTCATTCCAATTTCTTCTTCTTCATTTATTGTTTTAACCTGCTTACTTTTAGCCCTAGCCATGGTTCCAATGAATAAAAGAAATGCTTCTCATTATGTAAAGCACCTACACAGTACATTATCCATTAAAGATAAGGCGGCTTTGAAGCCACTGTCAGTTGCCATGAGCTCAGTCTCATGAAGCAGGAGAATATGCTTTATTATTACGCTAATATCAACACTACAGCTTATTTGCCTATCACAATTGATCTAATATGACATAAGAAACAATATAAATAACATAAAACATGTTAAATATTCCAGAATGAATAATATTTGGCATAACACCAAGCAGTTCGACAGAGTTATGAAGAGGATATGGTAAACAAATACCATTCTCCTATCCCTGTCTTGGGGGGCTTATTGGCTTAGCACTTCTTTTTGATTATAATAATAATTGGGGGGCTTATATTAGAGAAAACGGAGTATAGCACAGGGCTAACTATGATATACACTCGTACTCCACCATAAACATGAAACAAAAAAGTTATTTTCT